CATGTCCTTCGTCGATTCCTGTTTCCCATTTTTCAATAAGGATTCACTTTATATGGTGGGGGATCCCACCTCAGTCGGATGAGTCTCCCTTCTTCGATGAGGATTTCGTGTCATCAATCCGATTCTTGAATCCGATGTTCCTATTCCCCTTTTCACTGAATATTCTTTTCATTCCGATTCCTTTCTTATACCGATTCCGATTCCGTTCTCATTCCGATTTCCCTCTCATTCCTATTATTTTCTCATTCCGATTGCCTTCTTATTCCGATTCCGATTCCCTTCTCAATTTGATTCCTTTCTTATACCGATTCCCTTCTCATTCCGATTCCGTTCTCATTCCGATTTCAATCTCATTCCTATTATTTTCTCATTCCGATTGCCTTCTTTTTCCGATTCCGATTCCCTTCTTATACCGATTCCCTTCTCATTCCGATTCCGATTCCCTTTTCATTTCGATTCCCTTCTCATTCAGATGCCGATATTCTTCTCATTCCGATTCCCTTCTCATTCCGATTCCCATCTCATTCCAATTCCCTATTCCGATTCCCTTCTCAATCCGATTTCCTTATTCTGCCTTTTCGCTGTTTATTCCTTCATTTTTCCGATGTATGGACTGGTACACTTTTCCCTACTAGTGTCCATTATTTTATTCAATGATGATTCCTATTTTTGAGAATATTTTTGAGTCGTTCCTCACGTTTCGAGGCCTCATTCTGACCTCCTCTTTTCCTGCTGACTTTTTCCGATGATTTTTCCATACAGATTCCTCCTTTTCGTGGCTAGTTATCATTCCGATTACCCTTTTTCCGATGTGAATTTCTTCATTTCGATTACGTTTCCTCAGGCCTGATGACGACTTCCCTATTCCGATTCCCACTCTTCGATTGGAACTACCTTTTGATTCCCTTCATCGATTTGCATTACGTTTTTCAATGAGGATCGCTACCTTTTCAATTTCCCAATCCCATGTTCCTATTTGCCACTCCCCTGTTCCGCTGATTCACATTCTCATTCCTCATGATTCCCATTCCTCTGTTCCTATGACTCCCATTCTTATACCCCTGTTCCGATGATTCAGATTCCCATTCCCTTCTTCGATTCATATTCCCCTTTTTACGATGCCGATACACCGATTCCTTTATTCCTTTTTCCGTAACAATCAAAGCGCAGGCAGGGGCATGCCTCTGTCTTTAAGCAGCTTTGATTACCAACACTTTCAAGTGGCGAGGGGGCTTTGCGGGTCCCACTTTGGTGCCCCCCTTTGATTGTTGCTACCTTTTTGCTGCAATCACAGCCGACTGCCTCGAGTGTCTGTGTGTGTGTGTGTGTTTTGTATCTGTGCGAGGCATTTGAAACCTGATTAGTTGTCAAGCACTTCAAGTGCTCTGGCTTTGGCTTTGGCTGTGGCTCTGGTGGCTCTGGCTCTGCTTTCTGCCTGCAAAATCTATGAAGGGGCTGTGTGTACGAATTTATTGTTTCAAGTTAATGCCACTTGATGGATTATTTAGCTTTATTTATCCACTAAACGCCTTTGCCTTTTGCCTTTGATTTCTGTTTGTTATTCGAGGATTGTTCCAAAGGCTTTAAAGCCTGTCTGTCTGTCTTGCCCTTTCGCTCGCTTATAAACTATTCAAATTAATTGTAAAACTTTCTTGGTCCCTCTCCCATAAATCTCTACCCTACACACATATCCCTTTGAGATCCTGTCAACAGGACAGCGCAGCGTTGCCAGTGAAAGTTTTTCGGTTGTGTCACGACAATATTTACACGCTGCATTAAACTTTCACTCCCAAAGAGAGAGAGCGAGAGAGAGCGCGGGAGAGAGTGTAAAAACTTTTACAGCTACTGCCGCCTAATTTTTATGATTTTCTTTCTCTTTTTTAAAGTTGCGCATACGCCAGGTTGTACGCCCCTGACCAGCTGCTTGATTTATGCGCCAGAATTTTAATAATTTAAGGCTATGGCACAAAAATCAGAGACGAGAGCTGGCTGGCCCACTGCCAGGCCACGTTTTGCGCTGACAGAGCCGAAAAATGCGAAAATTCTGCTCCTTCCTGGGTGCTGCTCCTTCTTACAGCTGCTCTGGCTGCTCTGGCTGCTCTGGCTGCTCCTTCTTGCTGCATGTTGACAATGGTGGCAACAAAGCGCATTTGGCAAGCGCCTGCAGCAATGCCAGCAAATACGCAGCGCTACGACGTGCTCAGCAAAAGTGAAATGGCAACAATACTCGTTGTCGTACAACTGAAGCGAGGACTCAGAGGCAGAGACACAGAGACACAGAGAGGAGCAGGAGGAGGAGGAGGAGGTAGACAGAGCCAGCAGGAGGGAGACACAGCAGGGAAACCAGAGGCAAAGGCAGAGACACAGAGAGGCGGCGACGGGAACCCAGAGGCAGAGTCAGAGACACAGAGCGGCACAGAGACAGAGACACAGATGCGGCGGCGGCACAAACTCACAGCGACTGAGGCAAACACATGAGAGGACTAGGTTGCAGGCACTACAAAAAAAAGAGTTTGTTTGCAACACACCAAAAATAAATATACAAAAAATACAACACAAAACTAGGTTATGCCACAGACAGAATTTTAATATGATTTCTCCCATGGGCCCTAACGCACTTCAACACCCCCTGCCCCCCGTCCCCCCCGAAACCGCCAATCCAACATCAACGACTAAATGAAACGACTCAGTTTTCAGTAAATTATCAAAAAAGGCTGACAAAATATCCCTAAAAGTGGGACAGCCGCCGACACACATTTTTTTGTTTGTGGTTTCAATTTTTATGATCCGATTTTCGGGGCTTACAATTTTTTACGTGTCTAGTGGCATGATATTTAGTTTGCAACAAATTGAGGGCAAGGGAGCGAAAGGGGATCAGCAGGGAAGGCAAAGCAAACAAATTTTAATCCAAATTTTTTTCGAAAATATAGCATACTTTTCTGCGTTTACGTTTGAAAAAATTTCACTTTGAGAACAGATGTTTTTTTTTGAAAGTTTTCATTAAGTGGAGTTTTAATAGATATTCTTTACAGAGGGGATTCAATATATGCCCAGATATATTCCTAAATAGCTTCCTTAATAGATTCCCAAATAGATTCTCAAAAAGATTTCTTTATGGATTCCTTAAAATATTCCTCAATAGATTCCCAAAAAGATTCCTTTATAGATTCCTCAATAGATTCCTAAATAGATTCCCAGATAGATTTCTTTATAGATTTTTGAATAAAATCGTAAATATATTTCTCAAAAAATTTCCGAATAAATTCCTAAATAGATTCCTTTACAGATTCCTCAATAAAATCATCAATAGATTCCCAAATAAATTCCTTTATAGATTCTTCAATAGATTCCTCAATAAATTCCTCCATATATTTCTCAATAGATTTCCTAATAGATTCACAAATAGATTTCTTAATACATTCCTTTCTATATAAAAATTCCTTATAGATCCTATCAAATTCCAGCCATGCTTTTTAGTAGAAAATTTAATTTCTTCACTTAATTTCTTTAAATCTTTCAATCAATCTTTCTTATCCATCTATCTCCTTTTTGTATGTATTATATCTTCTTTTTATATAAAAAGGTGTCTGAAAATCATTTAATTTATATCTGAAACACTTTTTACTCTCTCCTCCACAGCCTCTAAGTTTGGTTTTTGCCATCAATAAATTATTTCCTTACCATTTTCCTACCTAGAAGTTCTGCTCTTGTATTCATTCAAATGCTCAGGAAATAATCCCGTTTTATACGTATTGACACCACAATCAGTTTATAAACACTCGAAGCTAACATTTGGGGATTGAATAAAATTTAGAAATTTTTCCAGAGTTCCCAAAAATTTGTACAAAAAAAGCAGATTATCCCAAAAATTTCAAGGGACTTTTTCTGCATTCCAAAACCAACTTTTAGCCAACTTTCAGCCTCCCAAAGTCACCTGGAAAGTTGCTTAATATTTATCCTATTTATCCTATACCAAAATTTCCAGATCTCTCCCTTTTCTGGCTCTGAAAATTACCCGTTCCAATCTACCATTTTGAGATCTTTATGCCAGGGAATGCCCCGAAAATTCAGCCCTCGGGTAATGTCGTATGGATTGCTTTACCTTTTTTATGGGTAGGTAGTACTACGGTGCTTATGGCTTATGCGTTACACCTATGTGTATCCTGCAGGATGTCTGTGTCGTGTACATATATCCTGTGCTTGCACTTACCCTCAACAAAAGTTGCCTTATTGTATCCTTTTTTTGGCGTTTTTTTTACGGCTTTTGTAATAAAAGCAGCAGGCCCCAAAGGGGTTCCTATGGAGTGAGGAGGCTACTGGCTACAGGCTGCTGTTCTTGTCGTTGTTGTTGTTGTTCTTGTTGTTTCTCTTGAGGGCGTGTAAGGAATTGAGCAAGTTTTATGCAGCAAACGGCGATGGCAACGAGGCACACATCATATCTGGATGGAGTCTGGGCACGCAGCCTCCGCCTTCGCCTGATCTCAGGATCAATAGCGCTGCGAAAGCAATTGAGCAAAAAATATGGCCAGAGTGCGAGAAGGCATAAATTTTCGGGTGTATGTGTGTGTGTGAGTGTGTGTGGGGGGGTGGCGGGAAGGGGGGGATGGGGGAACAGCCTTGGGGTTTATTTAAAACAGCAGAATGGAGAACGGCGAAGGGAACGACGCTGCCTTTCGTCTCGTGGAACTTTATTTATGACTCAATAATGTGTATTTTTGATTTATGCATTGTGGGCGCGTACGCACACACACACACACACACACAGATACAGCACTCACACACCCACTCCACTCCACTTCTCTCTCGCTCTCGCTGTAGCCCAGTTATTGTTGCGACGGACGCGATTTGCATAACAACACACACACACACAGCACTCTCGATGGTGGAGCGGGAGAGTAGAGTCTCTGGTTCCACACGTGCAACACTTTTATTCTTTTTTTGGAGAGGTGGTGTAGGGGTAGGGGGCGCGTATCACTGGGTCAAAAACATTCAACAATTACCGGATTTGTTTTATATTCTTGAAGGGATATTCAACACTTGTTTTCCTCCTCTATATTTCTTTCTTTTTTTTCTTGTACGGCGGACGGCGGTCTTTGATGCTGCTGCTGCTGCGACGGCGGCTGCTGCTGCTGCTGCTGTCCACGACCCGCGACAACAACGACGACGGCGGCGACGACGACGACAGCGACGACAACAACGACGACTCGACGACGGCGACAGCGACGACGACGACGACGGACGGGCAAACACTCTGCGGAGGAGCACACGAGAACTACACAAATCCACGACCTTTTCAGTACTAAAGCGCCCAGTCATTCATTCGTGGCTTTGATTCGATTCTGGACTCCAGACACGACTCCACTGCCGAGGCTCCAGGCCAGGCTTCGGGTCCGCCGCTTACCCCCCGCCCCCCCACCATTCGGTTCGCGCATTATCGAAAATACGAGCGGAATCCACGAGCCACGAGAGCCCTGCGCTGCTGCTGCTGCCTTGTGCATGTCTGTGCGTGTCTTGTAAGTGGGCCAACGCGGCGCTTCGACAGTTTCGATATCGAAAAGCGAAGGCATGGCAGGCAGGGCCGAAAGAGCAAGCTAGCGGAGGCCCGACCGAAAGAGCGAAACAAAAAGAGCGTGAAGGCGTCTGTGGACTCCATTTGGATCGTGGAATGCAAGCTTCGACTTGCACTTGAATGAACATGTTTCTCCGAAGGCGGCTCTCGTATAAGATGGGAATAAGATGTGGGAGGTATAAGAATAAGAATAATATAAATTAATTATGGATAGAAAATTATTTAATTTTATAAGAAATAAATATTTAAAATTTTACGAAATAAATATTTTACTAAATATTATTATAAAGGGGCTGTAAGGTTGTATTAGGGGGTATTAAGGTAATTATAAGGGGTTGCTTTTAAAGCCCTAAATATAATTAGAGGATTGAAAACAAAATAAGAAAATCCTAAAATATTAAAATTTTTCTTTTTTTTCTATTAAAAAAATATTAAAGTTTTTCTTTTCTTTCAATAAAAAAATTTAAAATTTTCTATTTTTTTCTTTTTCCGTTATTTTATTTTATTTTTTTTATTGTATTAAATATGATATAATATGAAATATTAAATCTAAAGAGGCAGAACAGATTTCAGGAAGTTTGCATTTCGACTCTATCTTTAATAGAAAAAAAAACGAAAAACAATATTTTAAAAAAATATAAAAATAATATAAAAAATATATAAGAAAATAATATGAAAAAATAATAGAAAATGAATATTTTTTCGTGTTTTTTAAGATATTCTTCAGTGAATATTTTTTTGATTAAAATTGTGTACAATAATACATCAAAATATAACAAACCAATTAAATTCAATATTTTTTTTATCCAACATTTATTTTGCATTTTTTAGGATTATATTTATATTTGATTTATTTTTATAGAAATTTTGAATGTTTCTTAGATATTTTTATATTTTTCCAGTGTTAGTTTAGTTAGTTCCATAGTTTTTTTTTTATCCAAAATTATTTTTTTATTTTTTAGGATTATATTTATATTTTATTTTTATTGTTTATAAGATTTTATTTTTTAGAAGTATTTTGTAGAATTTTATAAAAATGTAATGGTTAATCTTTTAGGATTCAAAACTATTCAAAAGTATTTCTGAATGGAATAAATCCTAAGAATATATAAATTTCTCTTTTATCAGTACAAAATCCCTCCAAAATACCCCATAAACAGTGTCCCATATCATACAAAAAATCCCGAATCATCGCCAATCTTGAGACTCCTGCTTTGGCCTACCTCAACACCCGCCAAACACCCCCATATTCCCCATAAAGCGACTCCAAAAAATGTTTTTCTCTTACACGTTCCACCACGCACTTTTTGTGGAACCCGTTTCCGAGTGCCCGCTCTTTCGCTCCCACAAGAGCAATGATGGCTCATTGCATAAAAAAAAATCACACACCGCCTTGGCGGCACAGTTGCAGGCTGCCGTTGCAGCATCGTGTGGAAGTCAAAGCCACAAATTATGTTGCATGTTGCAGGGGCAACATTAATCGACAAAAATGAACCATTTCTGGCCAAAAAGTGGTCCAAAATCTTTGCAAGATTTTGCAAACTTTTTGTTGTGGGCGTCAGACGGCCACACACTTGAGGCGACGTTCAAGTGCTGCAGGGTGACCAATTTTCCGGTCACTTCATCTTCAAGCAACCCACCATCCACCCCTCCTATCGCCCACCCTTTGCCTATGCTCTTTTGATGGGTTCTTGGGGGTTAAGCCAGTCATTCATTAATAAGATTTTGGCAGGCAACAAAAAAAAAACTTAACCTACGCCACCATTTCACCCACCACCCCCCCGAACCCCGCTAACTGCTACCCCTCCCCCCCTTTTACAGTAAGGAAACACAGAGAAGACGCGCGTGTAAAATTACACGAAAGCCGAGGCTCTCTCTCGAAATTCGATATCGAATTCAGGGACATGCGCCTCTCACTCTCTCTCTCTCGCTCACTCGTTGTGGACTGCAACATAGATGTTTGGCCATGTGGATGCCATTGAGGTTTTATTTTCAAATGTTTTGTTCCAACGGTTTCACTCTTATATTTCACTCAAAGAAAAGCTTTTCACAAGAAGCTGCATGCCACACACACAGTGTGTTGCAACAATGGCAAGTGGTGGAGGGGGGCGGGGTGTGCAGGGTGGGGGGGGGGGGGGGGGGTGGTGCCTTAATCTTATCAAATTTCATTTATACGCTTGGCCACACTCTAATGGCGCAAAATCCCAATGCCAGTAAAACTCACACATCTCTCTCTCTCTCTGTCCCCCTCTCTCTCACTCATATATAAACTGTTACGAGTGGATGGTGTCATCCGAAAGTATTTGTTGGCTCTTCTTCCGTCACACGGCATTCTTTTGGACCGAAAATTGCGCTTCGCTTCGCTTCGGTCTTCGGTCTAAAAACATTAACTAAAACTGCACAAATTCCATGCCACACACACACACACATGTGCAGTTTTTGGGTCTTGTGGCAAGGACTGGATGCCCCTTCAGTGAAAATCTCAACGCTCAACCGCTAAGCATGGCATTTCATCAGGCGCAAGCGGAAACCCCTAGAGTAGGAGAAGCCCAGCCCTTCACCCACTGGCGACTGATGTCTACCCCTCCCCCTCATAGCCCCCCTCTCCTCCTCTGTTGGCCTGTCGAAAAACCCCAGAAATGCGAGTAAAGGAAGTGCGCTAAGTGCAGTGACCAAAGAGCTGCCTCTGCTGCCTCTGCTGCTGCTGCTGGTGATCCTGCCACTGCCACACTGGTGCCGCCAGGAAGTGGCAATGGTGTTGCACATGACTTTATAGCTTTTACATTAGTGTCTGTGTGGGGGTGTGTGTGGGGGGGGTTGGACGACAAAGTTGCCTTCAAAATTTAAATCAGGAGACGGTCACGGCGGTTGCTGCAGCCGACTGAAGGACTGACAGGACACTCGTGGAAATGAAGGACTGTTGTTGCCGGTTGCTAAGCTTCACTGTCATTAAAAAGTTAAGGATTAAATGCTGGCTGCACCCAAAACTCTCCCTCTCTTGGCGGATACACGCCCCCCAATTAGCCTGCAACGTGATGTGGCACACACACAACAATTACATAATTACAAAACGCACTTTTGGATCTGCATCATCATTGTCATAAATGGATTGTCTATAAGCATGAAGCGGTGTATCGGTGTATCGGTGTATCTGTGTATCCGTGTATCTGTGTATCTGCCGTGCGTGTGGCAAAGAGGCAACTAATTAATCAGCTTGCGTAATCAATGCTTAATGATGCAGCAGCGGTAGCAGTGGCATGCGGCAGCGCCATGCGGCCATGCACCATTTAAATGGTCTATAATTAAATCAAACACTCAATTAAATCAAAGCCACCCAAGCGACTCCATCGATGGAGCCCCGTTTTAGGTCATTTTCGATGGAGTGCTAATGAATGGATGGATGGATGGATGGATGGATGGAAAATCGCATAAGGAAAAACCCACAATTATCTAATCCTTTGAACCCTTTACGGTGCTTCGCTGCTTCGGTCATACACTCATTAATTAATCAAAAACTCAAGAACCACAGAGACCAAAGACAAGAGAACACTGCCCCAAAATGGTTACAGTCCTCAAAGGACTCAAAGAGCCAAAAAGCCAAAAAGTTATCATTTAATTATTCAAACATACACATTTTGAAGATACAATATCTATCAAAGCGTGAGGGAAGTGATGTTTGGACGAATTAAAAAAGGATTTTGTTTCGCCTTTTACCAGGAATTTTCTTACCTTTTTTTGGAAGGCTCTTTATCTATGAAAGGGTGAGGTGTGGTTTTACCTGGAATAAGAAAAGGTTTGCCTGGTGAAAGCGCAGTTTTCGAAAGGTTTTTTAGCTTATAATTACAGAAAACTGTATTTAATATATATTTTATATTAAGATTTAATTTCCTTAAATATTTACTAAAGATTCTTTTAATATTATTTATGATTATTTTAATATTTGTTGAAGAATGTTTTAATATTTGTATTGAAAATTGTATTTAAATTTGATTTAAGATTCTTTTCATATTTTTATTATTTGAATATTTATTTAAGATTATTTTAATATTTGTTGAAGAATTTTTAATATTTTTTTTCAAATTTTATTAAAGATTTATTAAATTATAACATTATTTAAATATTTATTTAAAATTCTTTTGATATCCATTACGATTTTTTTAATATTTATTCTAATTTTATATTTAATTTATTTTAATATTCATTTAAGATAAGTTTCATATAAATGTATATATATTTTTGTTGAAACATTCATTTAATATTCTTTAAATATTTTTTGTATTTTAATATTTATTTAATATTTTCTAATAACTTCAAAATTTGTATCTTAAGTGTCTTCTTGTTTTGAGATACATTAAGCCTTCATGAGATACTTTTTTGAGATTCTTTTCATTCAAAACCTGAAATTTATGCCACTTAGAACTAGTTAGGAGTTGCATCTTTCAGGGGATTAATAGATAATAAAAGTATGGTACATATATTCTACTGCAGATCTGGAAGCTGTGATCAAATGGCTGAAAAAATCTCTGAAAATTGTTTTGTATCTGTAGATTTTCCTTCATCGCTGCTCAAAAAATTACAAAAAATTG